GACGACAATGACAAGAGAAGAGAGACTAGAGACAGGAACAGAAGGGTCGGTAACAAGAGAGGCTAGGACATGAGGAACCAAAGGGCGAGCAGCATGGAGGAGGTTGGAGAGAGGAGGAGAGGAGACAACAAGGGATGACATAGGAGGCGACAGGAGAACAGGAGTGGGAGGAGCACGAGATGCGTGAGAACGGAGAAACATAAGGTGAAAACTCAGAAGGGAAGAGACGGGGCGAGCACGAGAGGGATGGTGAGACCACAAGTAGGAGGGAGGTGTCGGATCAGGAGACAAAGGAGGAGAACGAGGGGGGAAACGAGCCGGAGATGAGTCCGACGGAGGGAACACGGGGCCGTAGACAAGAGGAGGAGGTGGCGCTGGGGGAGTCACGGGCTGCCGGTCAGGGGAGGCGGAGGGAAGACCGAGGAGGCGAAGGGCGGACACTGGCTGCTGCTGCTGCTACTGCCACTATTGTTGCTGCCACTGCTGTTGCTGTGGTTGCTGCTGCTACTGCTGCATGCCCACACCACGACCTCCACTCCTACCATTGCTACCACCGGTTCTCGCCGAGATAGCACCTCTAGGACCAGCACCCCCAGGACTAGCACCCCCAGAAATAGCACCCTCCTTAGAACGAGCACCCCCCGCGCCAGCACCTCCAGAGCCCAACCGCCTCTGCTGCTGCAGTGGCGACTGCTGCTGCTGCTGCGGCGGAGGCACCGGGGGTGGGGGCGCAGGCGCCGCAAAAACAAATGGCGCACCTGGACTTCTAGGATCCCCAGAGTCAGCAGACTCCTCCGCCGGGCCAACCGAGGGAAGGGGAGTGACGTGAGACACACCAAACAGGGTAGGACGCAAAAGGAGGGGGGCGGGAGCTGCCAGGGGAGTGGTGACAAGGAATACGGGTGAGGCGACAGGGAGACCGCTATGGGGAAAGCGAGTGTAGAAGGAGACAGACTCATCAAAGGTGATGTCACGCGAGTGGAGGAAACGATGAGACGACGGGTGGTAAAAGTGCCAGTCAGGAGTGTCAAGAGGGTAAACCAAGGAAGACACAAGGGACAGTGTGGACAATGAGCTTGTTTGCGTGAGCGTCGCAGACGTGAGATAGGCAGCCCTAGACGTGAAACGCAGATGCGTCACCGGTGACGTATAGGCAGGGCCAGTCTAGGAGGTCCGGTGCGGGCCCGAAGCAGAGACAAAGGAGGTCGTCGAGGCGGCAGGAGCAGCGCGCTGTGGTTTGGCCAGTGCGGCCACAGACGGAGCCATGGAGGGGACCAGACTGAAGCCAGTATTGGCAGTCCATCGGACTGGAGCCACCATCCGACGTTGAGCTGCTACGGCCGCCTCTGCGACCACGACCACCAAAACCTCCTGGCCACCACGGCGGCAGGGGCCCTGCTGTTGTTGCTGCTGTTGCTCCTGCTGCTGTTGCTCTGGGGCATCATTCCTAATCCCTCGTCCGCACCCTTAGCGCTCCCACCATCCCCACCACCCCCACCATCCCCATGACCCTTCCCTCCCCCATGCCCCCCCTTGGGGCAACGAGGACCTCTACCCTGACGGGGCTGCGCTGAGGCCACCGCATCGGTCTCGGTGACAAGGGTTGTCTCAGCAACAGCGGTGGAAGCCTCAAAGGAAGTGCACTAGGAGGGAGCACAACCCTGGAAGATAGGGACCGCCACAGTACCACTAGACTAAGCGATAGTAGGCTGGTGGGCCCCTATCGCCGACAGGGTGGCGATAAAGCTGTCAAGGGTGAGGTCAGCGGGGTGGAGACTAAGGAAGGAGTTATGGGCGGTGGCGAGGCGGTCATAGGGGCGCGTTGCTAGGAAATAAAGGGTGGTGGCGATGGGAGGGGAGAGGACACTGAGCTAAGCCTCACTGCTAGCAGTGCAGTAGCTAGACTCGAGAGCACGCAGGTGGTTGGCCACATCAGCGACAGTGGGGAAGGAAGCTAGGTTAGGGAAGAGCAAGGGAAGGAGGAGACGACCAACAGAGGCAGAGGAGGGAGTGGAATAGTGAGCGATAACATTATCTAGGTATGCCTGCGCAGTGTATAAGGCCTGAAAGTGGGGACGCTTAGACAACGGGAGGGTGTGACTGATAGCTAGCTGCGCAGTGGTATCACGCGACTCCCAAACAGAGCGGGCGATCTCAGCAGCTGTGAAAGCCTCACACGCAGCAGGAGAGATGTCAGCAGTGAGGGCAGCAGGCGCGGGAGGGCAGGGCCACTTACCGGCGATGTGGACAGCCAGAGACTCGCTGTCATGGCGCTGACCCTTCAGCTGGCGGCGCAGGTCGGCAAGCCACGCCTCGAAATCCATCACGCGACCCTCGGCTTCCAAGCCGAGAACATCGTTTGACATTACCGACGCGCATCAGCAGAGGCGGCCGCGCATCAGCAGAGGCGGCCGCGCCTCACCAGGTGCGGCTGCAGGATAGCACAACTATGGCTGCTACGGGAGACAAGAGGAGGAGGAGCCGGGAGCAAGCGGGTGCAGTGGAGGGCGATGGAGAGCGGTGGAGGGCGGTGTAGGGCGGTGGAGTGCGGTGGAGAGCGGTGGAGTGCGGTGGAGTGCGGTGGAGTGCAGGAGCACGTACGGCCGGCGAGGATGCCAGCTTAGTCGAGGAACCAGGTCCGGCAACGAGCTGGGGCCGGCGGCGAACAGGGGCCGGCGCAACGTCAAGTCGGGGCCGGCGCGGCGGCGAGCTGGGGCCGGCAGCAGGTCGGGGCTAGCGACGAGCAGGGGCCGGCACGGCGAGAAGGGGTCGGCGCGGCGAACAGGGGCTGTCGTCGAGCCGGGGCCGGCGCGGCGAACAGGGGCTGGCGGCGAGCAGGGGCCGGCCGCGAGCAGGGGTCGGCGGCGAGCAGGGGCCGACGGCGAGCTGGGGTTGGCAACGAGCTGGGACCGACGCGGCGAACAGGGGCCGGCACGGCGAGCAGGGACCGGTGCGTCGAGCTGGTGCCGTCATGTCTAGCAGGGGCCGGTGCGACGAGCAAGGGCCGGCGTAGCGAGGGCTGGCACGTCTAGCAGAGGCCGGCACGGCTAGCAGGGGGGACGGCGCGGCTCGAGTAGGGGCGCTCTAAGGGCGGCAAGCTAGGCGGGGGTGGAAGCATGGGCGGGTGGGACCTACCTAGCGTGATACCATGACAAAATAGAAAAGTAAACTCAAGCATGAGGTACAGGGGAGATATAGGGTTTGGTGTTGTACTCTCTAAGAGCACGTACCCATATTGCACATATGTTGGAGTTGACACCTAATCGGAAAAGCGTTCCAAAATTCACATCCCCTTATGCACTAAAGGGGGTATAGATTTTGCAGCATTATGAACGTCGTGAACTTGTTAAGAAATAATACGAGAGTAGAGTGCAGAACCGAGGGTTCTGTTGGGGAACGTGATTACAATGTTCCCTAGAATGAAAGACCTAGGGCTTTTACGAGGTGTCTGAAGTAGAGCGTAAGATTTCGGGACTTTGCATAACCGAGAGTTTAGCTCTCTCACCGTTCTAAAAACAACGAGTACCGTACAGTACCTTCCTGTGACATCCTGGGACGTCACAAGTTTTACTTCAGACACCTCCTTGTAGGGCGAAATGACTTGGGCAGAACCTCGAGTGTTGAACCATTCAGGACGTGGTAGTCCCTAGGGTGACGGGGGCGAAGTGGGTTCGGGGCGTCTTGGCAACATCTTCGGGGCCGAATGTTATGAATTAATCAGAGTAATAACAGATAGTGTAATAAAGGAGTTGTGATTCAAGAGTGTCGATAAAAATGAGGGCCTAGGCGTTTATAGGCATGAACAGAGCTAGCCGAGAACCACAAGAACCGGTTGGCGAAAGCTACGGAAGCGCCACGCGTCTAGGTTTGGATTTGCGAAGTGGTTCTGGACCGAAGAAGTTGGCTGAGCCTGGACTTCCGAGAGTCGATGGTGTACGCGCTGTACTCGAGCCCAGTAAGGAAGAGGGAATTTCCTTACACCACCACCCCTTCCGGGATGAGACTACCCACATCCGGGACACGTCATCGGTATAAATAGTCCCGTACAACTCTGTTTTCATTGAGCGTGGCTGTGTGAACCTAGAGGTCGTCGTCACTTGTGCGATCGACCCATCGTACAAGGAAAATGACAGCTGCTGTGTCTCGGTGTCCCCATACGCGATGAGCGAGAATCTTGGACGGCGCTGTCGTCGGCTCTGGTAATGGGTTGACCGTAGGATTACTGTGTTGACGGTCAAGATTGGTCGCACTCGGGATGAAAAGTCGCAGGAGGTTGATGTGGAATGAATCATGAATTCGCCAATCGGTCGTCAGTTGCAGCTGGGCGGTGACTGGTGTCACCATGCGAATGATGCAGAAGGGGCCACAAACTCTTGGTCGTAATTTATTTGGGAGGGGGATTCCCAAATTCTTGGTGTCGAGCAGGACCAATTGCCCAAGGACAAGTGTTAAGTCTCAGAGTCGTCGGTTAGCTTGCTGCTTAGCCCTCTGGTTGGCTTGTAGGATGGCATCGGTGGCTTTCTGCTAAGACTAATGGAGATTTTCGACGATCTGCTCAGACCTTGGCGCCAGATTTTCTATCGGTGGCGATAGAGGGGTTGTCGGATCTATCCCATAATTAAGGAAGAATGGGGACTGAGTAGTCGTGGCCGATGGGGCATTGTTGTACGCAAACTCGATCAAGGGAAGGGCGTCTTCCCATTGGGTCAGGTCTGTGCATGTCGTGCGAATTAGCTGCTCCATTGTCTGGTTGGTGCGCTCAGTTTGACCGCCCGATCGTGGGTGGTACGCTGTGGACAGATGCAGACGTGTGCTATACTACTGCCAGGTTTTTGTCCAGAAGTTGGACGTGAACCGTGGGTCACGATCGCTGATGATTGCCGATGGGATGTCGTGTAACCGCACGATGTTCGTGAGGAACAATAATTGCTCGGCAGTAATTGTCGTCTTGCAGGCGGCAAAATGGGCCATTTTTGTCAACCGGTCAACGACGACGAGGATTGCGTCGTTAACGCTTGGACTAGGGTCAGTTGGGTGGCTCGAGCGGCTGCAGCAATCCAGTAGGTCGAAGTCGGGAAGACTTCATGCATTGACACGTGGCGCAGAAGGTGACGTACTGCTGCACGTCTGTCGGTAGGTCGGGCCAATAATAATTATGGCTCCGTAATTTTGTGGTTTTGTTGATGCCGTAGTGACCCGAGAAATTCGAGTCATGTGCCTCCTGGATCAGTAATTCCGTAGTGTACGGTAGGCGGGGACCCAAATCCGATTGGTACCAGATTTTAGATAATAGATCCCTTGCTTGACCGTCAGTTGGGGATGACTGTTAGTGGTGAAGAATGGTTCAGTACTGTATCCGTGGGTGAATAGGTCAGTTAGCAGCGGATCAGCTTGGGTAATTAGGACTGCGGCGGTGTGGACCGAGGGGCGGGTCAGTGCGTCGGCGATGTTGCTAACCCCTCGCTTGTACGTGACTCAGTAGTGGAAATTGGACTCGAGGTAGTCGAGCCAGCGAATCTGTCAGGGATTCGGTATCGGTTGGGCGCGAATGAACTGTAGCAACTTGTGGTGTGTTTGGAATGTTACGTCAGCGCCCATCAGGTAGCAGCGCCAGACCTTGAAAGCGTGAACGATGGCGAGTAACTCCTTGTCATGGACAGGATAATTTCTCTCGGCCTGGTTCATTTTTCGTGACTCGTAGGTGATGGGTTGGAGGCCGTCGCCGAAGTCTTGTAACAGTATGGCGCCCACAACCAGATCGCTAGCGTCGGTGATGAGCTCGAATGGAGGGTGAGGATCTGCAATCCGAAGAATCGGAGGGGTTGTTAGGAAAAGTTTGAGCTTCTCGAACGCAGCCTGCTACTCCCCCCCCACTCAAAAAGCGTGCCCTTCTTCAGGAGATCCGTGTGAGGGGAAGTTACCCCCACCATATTCAGAATGAAATGGCAGACGTAATTAACAAACCCCAGAAAACTCTTAGCCGGCGGCTTCCAGTCTTGGATGGTCGCAATTTTTTTAGGGTTGATTTTAACAGCGTCGACGGAGATCACGTGACCCAAAAACTCCAGTTCGTGTTTGAGAAACTCGCACGTAGAGCCCTTGGTGATGAGTCGGTTCTACTGCAAGAGAGAGAAAACTGCTTCCAAATCCTACAAATGCTGCTCCCGGGTTGTGCTGTAGACGAGGATGCCGTCGAGGTACAACAATGACGCATTTATCCAGCAGTGGCCGAAAATTTTCGTTCATGGTCAACTGGAATGTTGAAGGCATGTTTATTCAGTCGAATGGCATGAGCGTGTACTCGTAACTCTTGAACCAGGTCCGGAATGCCATCTTGTAGCACTCAACTTCGTGCACGCAAAGTTGGTGGTAACCGCCTCGCACGTCAATGTTAGTGAAAAATCTGGCCCCGCGAAGTTGGTTGATGAGGTCGTCTCCACGTGGAATGGGGTAGCAAGACTTGATGGTAACCCAATTCAAGGCGCGGTAGTCGATACACATACGCAGACCGCCATCTTTCTTCGAGGTGAACATGATCGGAGCCACAAATGGTGATGTGCTGGGTCTGACGAAACCTTTCTCGAGCAGGTAGTCCAGTTGGCATCGAAGTTCATCTAGCTCGGGCTGAGTCAGCCGCCATTGGGTCCAAACAGTAGGTTGCGTACTGGGCTCGAGCTCGATTTTGTGATCATGCGGCCGCTGAGGTGGCAATCCCGCCGGTAGGTCCTCTGCAAATATGTCGATGTGATTTCAAATTACCCTTGCCAAATCATCCGGGACAACTGCGCAGAGCTGGTCAATGTCGGTCAACGTGTCGACAGCCATTGATGCGATCCATCGGACGGCAAACATTTGCGCTCCTCGAATCATCGCGCGCTTGATAGTCACTGGGCTGACCGTTGATGTTGTGGAGTCTTGATTGCTCCATTTGGGTAGCCGTCGCCACTCGCCACTCCAGTTGATGCGACAATCCCCCGTCCGCCAGTCCATGCTCGGGTTGTATTATCGCAGCCAATCGCTTCCCAGCAGCGTGTCGCACCCGTCCAAAGTCGTCGCCAACATCTTCGTCGTGAAACTGAAATTTTCCCCACAAGTGACTCGCACGTAAGGCACGCGCTCCCGAATCGCCACTGGGGTGCCGTCAACCAACCTCGCGTCGATTTCGGGCATGCAGCGCTCTAGTTGCAATCGCAATTTTTTCGCTTTTGTCACATCCATCAGACTTGGCTTGCTCCGCCATCAACAAATATTTTGATGCGGGTGTCGCCGACTCTTCCTTCAACCAGCACAGGGCGATCAGCCGGTTCACCCACCTTATTCAGCCAAGAATGGTCGATAACCCAAATCGGCACTATAACCTAGCGGGGGTCTTGGCGTTTGGGCGACGCAGTCATGTCAGTAAGTGGTTATCGGCTACTGGCGATCTCCAATTCCCGACTGCTTCCCCTCGTTTGCTAAGTTCTTCTTCAGCTGCATGCATTCCTTCACCATGTGGCCCGGCTGGTTGCAGTGGAAATAACATCCGGAAAATACCCGGACTGCAAACACGTCCACGCCGTTGATTAATGTGTGTTGGGGCTAGCCTCGAAAGCGACTTCCCTCCCAGAAACTCGCCCTCGCGAGTCCACGCCTTGTGTCCAGCGCATCTGCGATTCGGACAATCTCGTTGAATGTCGCCGGGGCTCGCAGGATGATCTCTTGCTGAATCTTCTGCTTGAGACCACCCAAGTAGCAATTGATTCGCTCGTCTTCGCTAAGCCCTCCAATTTGATCGCATAGCGCCAAAAAAGAAGCAGTGTATTCTTGGACAGAGCCCAACTGTCTCCACATCCAAAGCCTTGTGCGAGCGTTTTCGCGCATGGATATGTGCTTGAATCGGCTCTTCAATGGTTCGCCCCACACTTTCCACGTGCGGATAGTGGCCGACCCAAAGATCGGTTCTGCATGAGTCGTTGATGGACTGTGCTCCCCATCTACCGCCCGTTGATTCCCTGCCGGGGCTCCTCCCTCGTCCAGATGCATGCGCCACCAGTCGAGTGCCGGTCCCCTCAGCAGCGACACAGCCAAGTTGACACGTGCCGCGTTGTCATTAATACTTGTTGCTGTGAAGAATTTTTCCATGGTGAACAGCCAACCACTCACTGTAGTCGTTTTATCGGCCAAGTTGAACTGCGGTGGCATCGAATGTTTGATTTTAATGGCCGCCCGCGGCTCGCTGTGGATTTCTTCAACTGCTTTAGATGTCGCCGACACCCCCGTTTCGCTCGCAGCATCTTCATCTCGTGTAACAGGCCGCCCCTGACGCGTTTCACCCCAGGTTTGGCGAAGCGACGGGTTTTCGTTGCACAGCGTCTGCACTTCACTTTCCAGCGACTCAAACTTATCTGCGAGTTGTAAAAGCTGGGCCTGCAGTGTCGTCACTGTAGCCGCCCTGGCTTGCAACTCGTCAAACTCCTCCTGAGTCACGTTCCTAACACAATGTCGGGCAGAGGTTTCCGGCGTCATAGATATGCTGGAAATTTTACCTGACAGATCTGAAGGTGCACACGTTTCTAGTTGGAGGAGCTTTAATGAGCTCACCTACCAACCGCAGGCCAACCCTCTATTCGGTCGGGTCCTCTCCCGATATAAACGGACTACTCTGCGGAAGACTAAGCGAGCAGGAACGGGACTCTGATATCCGCTGTTATGAATTAATCAAAGTAATAGCAGGTAGTGTAATGAATGAGTCGTGATTCAAGAGTGTCGATACAAATGAGGGCCTAGGCATTTATAGGCACGAACAGAGCTAGCCGAGAACCACGCGAACATGTTGGGGCTGTCCGGTTGGCGAAAGCTATGGAAGCGCCGCGCGTCTAGGTTTGGGTTTGCGAAGTGGTTCGGGACCGAAGAAGTTGGTCGAGACTCGACTTCCATGAGTCAAGGGCGTACGCACTGTAGTTGAGCCCAGTAAGGAACATGGAATTTCCTTACACCGAATAACAAGTCAGTGGGTTTGGTTTGGCGCGAGAGCCAAGGGCCAAAGCTGCTGGCGTGCACTATTCGTGTTATTCGATGTAGTGAGCCTCAGTAAGGGCGTGTCCCAAAAAATTGCCAACCCGTTTTGGACACGTAGAGTCGTCTGACGGTACGCAATGTGAATCAATTTTGAAACTGATCTCGTTTTGGGAACAGGCCCGACATGAAGGGTATTGTTAGAATACTAGAATCTAGGTAGGAGGGAAGCCATAGAATGGCGTGAGGTTTTAGGCTAGGAAAAATATCGAGAGAGAAGAGGCTTGGAATAGAAGAGAGAGGGATACAAGAAGGGGGGGTTGTACCCTCTACAGTAGAATCCAGTAATACCTACCAAGCCTACCATTATATATCTATCAAATATTTAATTTATCAGGTACAGCTCGGAAGGACAGCACTGAGATCAGCACAGACATGGTGGCGGGTAACAGGGTCCCGCTGTCGCGGCATGTCGCGGTAGTAAATTTGTTCTGGCATGTCTTGCACTATGTGGGTGTGTTGGATTTGGCAGGGAAAGTTGGTCGCTAGCGACGTGCGATGCCGCAAAGTTTCACGCGGCAATTTCGCTTAAGATGGTGTTGGTATTGGATGGCGAATTGGATTTTGTGCGGTCTTTTTTTGTCGTGCGGAGGTACCTGGAAACGTGCGCTTGTGTCCGCCAATTTTGGGTGTGAGTTGAGCGTGTCCTATTCGGGCGCGTTTTATGGTTACATGCCTAAAGGTGGTAACTGAACTCCATGTTGAACAGGGCACGTACTTTAGCGACACGCCCTAAGCAAACCAGAATTCCTTACAGAACCCATTGTTTCCCGTAAGTTCCACTGTCTTGTAGGATGCCTAAAGCAGGGGATTGCCATTACAGAGGGTATGCCATTAGGTCCGTAACATTTTACTCCATATAATACTCCAAGGTCCAAAATTTGATAAGATCCAAACTCCGTCTGTACGGTATACATCTACTGTTAGAGTTCGCTAAAAAGCGCAAAAGAACATAGTGACCAATCACGACAGTCGCATAATGCCACCGACCATCGATTCGCGCCACCCGAATTGGGTGCGATAGCAGCATGCGAGCGTCGCCAACCAACCCGTGAGTGCGAGCTCCAAAATTCCTCGTGAATTGTGCTTGGAATTGCCCGGCCAATACGCGCTTGCCAGAGCGATCCGACGTAATCACGACGGACCGGGGGGGCCAACACAAAATCACAGACAGCCCGCTGGTACCCCCGTCCACCTGACACTTTTGCATCCGCGCTGACATGTGCGTGAATCCGTACCCCCTTTTCATCAATTCTGTCTTATTATTACTGTCCTATTCTAATCCTCATGTCAAGAGCATTCGAGGTGTTTTCCATATTTTAGAACCAATCACGTAAATATTCAGGCTTCCCGCGTGACACGAAAAGGTCCGTCCCGAGTACAAAAATACGACCCACGGTCCCTCAATCACCATTAACAACTGCACATTTCGAAAATGATTTTGTCAAGGGGTTTTTTTTCCACATTCGTTAAAACATGTGATTAGTTAACGAAATCGCTAAATTCAGTCGTCAATATTTCGTTCCCTTTTTCCCTTTTCGTGATACCACGAAAAGGGTTTTCTAAACTATTTGTTTTGCGCGTTTTGAACTTGCGCTGCTTGTTGGAAGGTCGAGAACGAGGTGTTACTTCTATTGTTCGCGGTAGTTCTGACCAGACGACAATTTTTATGAGCGTTTTTTAATAAGCCACATGAGCCCTCACATGACACGCGGCGAAATCGCTGGTAACCTGGCCCAAGGGCCAATACGCCAAGGCACCCATCGTGAACAGAACGAGTAAAACGGCCTAGGCCACCCCACCTAAAACCGTACGTGCTACTCGATTATCCATTTTGCCCGTTGTGAACCGCTCCTATTCGTCGTAGTCCATATTTGCGAGTCGCGGATTTGGAGCATAGAGCATACCAGCTGTACACAAGAACACGCTGACCTGGCGGGGATATTCGTTATTGCTAAAAAGCTCACGATGGACATTCGTGAATATCCCATCCTGTGTTTTAAAGTTCACGGCGTGTGGTACTATGTTCGCGGGTGTTGTGATTGGTGCCGGGGTATGGATTCGAGTCTCTCCCCCCCCTCATGTTCGACGCTGTGGGATATCCTGATTTGTCGCTGGGCACGTGTCACCGCTGGTTGGGTGTCCAGACCTCTGAATGCTGACAAAGCAGGAGGTATGGATGAATGACAGAACTTGCTAGATTGTAAACACCCTGTCATAATAGCGGGTCGTGCTGCAGTTTAAATGAGTACTTTGGACAGTAACATCTCAGCCATGGAGGGGTGGGTGTTGGGGTAGGTGAGTTGTGAGCTACTGAACCGCTGGGCTTACACACTCACCGATTTTTTTATTTTTTTTTTTGTATTGGGGAACGACAAAAAACAATTGTAAGCACATGCTGAAATTTGCTCATCAAAGCTCTGGAGGTTCGAGAATTCTGACACCTGGCTCCGAAGCCAAGAGACTGGTTCGACAAAGGAATATTCCTCCGAACACGTCGTGCGTGGCAGACTTCGCGTGTCAAAGGTCATGTTGATTGGCTTTGAATATACGAGCCGCAAATTTGGCGGCTACATATCAGCTTGCGATATCCACGGGGGATGAAGCCTCGGAAGCGTGGTTTGGGAAGGCCGTGGCGCGACCCGGTCTGATGAGAGGTGAGCGTTTTGAGGCCTTTCTTCACCTCGAGCGCCCGAGCGCTGCTCCGCTCTATCTGTTGGGCATACATAAGCGATACCAAAACTCCATGAACCCTATCCTAGCCAGAACCCTACGGCTTCCCAGTCCGACCGTCTCCGGCCCACAAGATCCTCTTAGCAGTTTGCGGGAGCGCTTACTCCCCTTTCTCCAAGATGTCTTCTGTCACCCTTCCTGTGCACTCATACACATGGGTCTTCGTCATGACCATGCTGTTTGCATTCTTGGATGGCTACTCCATTGGTGAGTTCCTGTCAGCTTTACCTTGCAGCCTAGCATGCGTCCTTCAAGTATGTCCAATACTAAGGTCCTGTCGTTCCTGGTCTCTTTGTCAGGTGCCAATGACGTTGCCAACTCTTTTGCGACGTCGGTGGGCTCGCGGTCAATCACCCTCGCGCAGGCTGTCTTGATTGCGATATTCACGGAGTTCGGTGGAGCGATTGCACTGGGCGCAACAACAACGAAGACCGTGAAGGATAGCATTATAAAGACTGCCAGTTTCGACACGCGTCCAGATTTGCTGATGTCCGGCTTCCTGTGTGCCCTGGTGTCATCGTCGTCGTGGGTCATGTTCGCAACGTACATGGGCTGGCCTGTCTCGACCACGCATTCTATAATCGGAGCGCTCATTGGCATAGGCATCAGCGGCTACGGATTCGACTCTGTCAACTGGGGTTGGGATGGGAAGGGCGTTGCCCAAATCGTGACTTCGTGGTTCGTGTCTCCCGTTCTTGCGGGTATCATTGCGGCCGTGATCTACCTGCTTACTCTGCACTTGATTATGAAGAGCAAGAGCTCGCTCAAAAGGGGTATATGGGCTATTCCGATCTATTTTACCATCACAACTTTCATAGTCTCTTTCTACGTCGTCTCGAAGAATGGGCAAACCACTCTGGACATCAAGCCGAACTCGACGGGTGGAAGCCTTCAGGTTACAGGAAACGTCGGTCTAGCGTTCGGCATCATTGGCGCCATCACCGGAGCGATGTTGATCTTCTGCGCTGGCTTCCTGGTGCCGTACTTCATCCGGCGGCTGCAGAACGAGGAATCGCTCAAGTGGTACCACCTCTTCATCATCCACTGCACACCCACGCAGCCGCAAGACCCCAAGATCGATTTGTGGCTCAAGCGCGCGTTCACCCCGCACCTGCTGCAGGACGACGAGAAGCGCGAGCTGGGCATGGAGGTGGAGGACGCGGAGGACGGCGCCAAGGACGAGCCGGAGAAGCCGAAATCGCGGAACCTGGCGGTGCGTGCGTTCAACAAGGTGAAGCTGCTGCTGTACCGGTCCATCTTCATGGATGTGGCGACGGTGCAGAAGGACAGTCACGGCGCGGTGCAGGCGCAGGAGGTGGCCGTGGTGTACGACAACAAGACCGAGTACCTCTACTCGCTGTTGCAAGTCGTCACCGCGTCCTTCGCCTCCTTCTCCCACGGCTCCAACGATGTGGCCAATGCCCTCGGGCCCCTGGCCGGCGTGTACCAGATCTGGAGCTCAGGCGTCTTCACTACAACAGCCGAAGTACCGCGCTGGATGCTCGCCTACTCGGGCATTGCTATTGACTTCGGCCTAGCTCTATGTAAGTCTCTGATTTTAAACCCTTTCTCGTAGGCTTGTCGATATAGCGAGTCGCTCCAGGCCCATCTCATCTCCGCACCTGCGTATTTCTGTGCAGATGGCTACAACATCATGCGCAACCTTGGCAACAACCTCACCTATCAGTCTCCCTCGCGTGGATTCTGCATGGAGCTTGGAGCAGCCCTTGCCGTCGTCACAGCGTCGTTCCTGGCACTGCCAGTCTCCACCACGCAATGCATCGTTGGCTCTACTGTGGCTGTCGGCCTATGCCATGGGAACTGGCGCGCCATCAACTGGGGCATGGTGGCCGTAGCTGGGTTCTCATGGCTCCTCACATTACCACTGGCAGCAACGGTTGCTGGGCTTCTGTTTGCCGTCCTCACCCGTGGCCCAAGCTTTACTCTGCCTCCCGGGATGGGCTAGAACAGAGGTCAGCTTTGGACAGTGTACCAGAGTCTAATGTTATCAGAATACTATCATCATATAAAGTTATGAGTTCTTATAACCTAAACCAGGTTTGAACAAGCAACCTCTTTTTGATCTGGACCCAAGCAAAATAGCAAAGGGGGGTGTTAAAGTAAGAACTGAATAATAGACTAGAAGTGGAAACCTAGAACAAATACTAGTTGGTTGTACTCATTAGAAGCATACCTTAGTCTAGCCTATAACTTATACATAGCTAATATGTATAAATTGACACCCCCTAGGCTAGACAAGGGGTGGTGCTAAGCAAGAAGCAAACAGCTCAGGGTGGCACTATTAGTCCAACCACTGAGGCAGGGGTCTGGAGACCAGTCAGCAAGAACACAAACAAAACTAAAGCAAGCCAGGGCGGCACTACTAGTCCAGCCACTGAAGGTAAGGCCACAAGGCCAGTCTGACAGGCATATATAATATTGAGTACACAATCAGGATCCTAACAGGTGAGTGGCTACAGGAACAAGACCAAGCTGTACACAGTGCCACTGATGATCTTTAGGCGCAAGCGCCTTAGTAAAGATATCAGCTGTGTTGGCACCTGAGGCCAAGTGAACTACGCGGGCCTGGCGGCGCTGCTGTAGCTCGCGCAGGAGGAAGTACCGCAGCTGGATATGCTTCGCTCTGCCCTCAAGCCGAGGCTCCTGACACAGGAGTATCATGGCCCTGTTGTCAGCGTACAGGACCGGGGCAGAGCAAGGCCGCTCACCTAAGTCTGTGAGCAAGAAGGTCAGCCAGCGGAGCTCCTGTGCCACCATGGCACCAGCGTAGATCTCAGCCTCACAGCTAGACTGAGCCACAGACGACGAGCGAGTGGATCTCCAAGAGATAGCACCCGAACCAAGGCTAAAACAGTAGCCCTGTGATGACCTGAGCGTCTCAGAGTCGTCTGCCCAAGAAGCGTCTGTGTGCCCAGTAAGGACCACCGGCCTGCGTCCTCCAAGCACTAACCCCATGCCCGATGTACTAGCAAGACAACGCAAAACCCTCTTAGCGGCAGACCAGTGCTGAGGTCGGTGTCTGCCTGTAACCACAAAGCGAGTCACGATGCTGAGAGGGTATGCGAGATCTGGGCGAGTGCAAGTCATCAACTACATAAGGCAACCCACCAGCTCTGCGTAGGGGCCACTGGGCTCTACTGGCTCCTCAAGAACGGGAGCGGAGAGCCCATGGTCTACAGGTAGAGGTGTGGGCTGTGCGGAGGAGAACTGGAGACCGAACCTCTGAAGGACCTGACGCACCAAGTGTGACTGTGTCAGAGTGATGGTGCGTGCTGCTCTGTCCCTAGAGATCTGCAGGCCAAGATAGCGACGTAGCTCTCCAAGGTCAGTGCAGGTATGTCTCTTCAGAAGCTCGGCCTTCATAGAGGCCAGTGCGTCCCTGTCAGCAGTAGTGAAGACCAGATCGTCTACGTAGACAAGGATGTAGAACGGAGTCTGGCCGGAACGCACAAACAGCGAGGGGTCAGCAGAGGACGGAAAGAACTGCAGGTCTGCTAACGTGGCCCGCAGCGTGTCGTGCCACTCGCGGGGAGCCTGACGCAGGTCGTAGACCGGGCGCCTGAAAAGCCACTGGGTCCCAGAGGGGAAGGTACCAGTGAAGCCCTGAGGTCGACGCAGGTAGACCTGCTCGTGTAGGCTGCCCTGAAGAAAGGCAGTAAAGAAGTCGAGGGAGTGAAGCTCGTAGTCGCGCTGTGCTGCTATGTGTAGCAGCGCCCGAAGAGTGGTCATCTTCGGGGTCGGGGCGAAGGTCTGGAAGAAGTCAACCTCCTCTCGCTGACTGAAATCTCTGGCCACGTAGCGCGCCTTGAAGACAGGTGGCTCTCCAGGGGGGCGCTTCAGCTTGAAGAGCCACCGACCATCGACTACGTTCACCCCAGGCGGGGGAACTGCGGCGACGTAAGTGCCGGTGGACCTCCAAGATGCCATCTCCTGCTCCATGGCAGCTATCCACTGAGAGGCCCAAGGTCCCGAAGTGGCCTCAGCGTAGGTGCGAGGGGTGGGGATGTCGAAGGCGTCTGGGTCACCCTCAGGGACTAACAGCATGGAGCAGAGATGGGGAGCAGCCTCGGAAAGGAAAGCAAGCTCGTACTGCCTGTCCTCTAGGACGTCACTGCCAAGGGCAGGAGCACCCCCGATGGACGGAGGACGGGCAGGGTCAGAGACCAGAGCGGTAGCGTAGTCAAGGCGGCGGGTAGAGGCGAAGTCAGCGACAGCAGCGACAAGCGCGTCAAGGCGCGAGACAGGAACAACAGGGTCGGTAACAAGAGAGGCAAGGATCCGAGGGACAAGGGGACGAGCGGCACGGAGGTAGTCAGAGAACGGAGGAGATGCAACAGCAAGGGACGAGGGAGGAGGGGACGGGAGGAGGGGAGGACGAGACGAGTGGGAACAGAGCAACATAGGGTGGGTGGGTAGGACAGGAGAGGCGGGACGAGCACGGGAGGGACGGCGAGCCCAAACGTGAGATGGAGGTGTAGGCTCAGGGGAGAGCGGAGGGGACACAGGAGGGGAACGAGGAGGAAGACGGGCCGGAGACGAGTCCGGCGGCGGGAACACATGACCGTAGACAGGAAGGTCAGCAGGCGGTGGGGGAGACACCGGCGCGCGGTCCGGGGAGGGAAGGCCGAGCAGGCGGAGAGCTGAGACCGTCGGCGACGGCTGCTGCGGCTGCTGCGACGGCTGGGCCGGAACCCTCGGACCGGCAGAGGCAGGACGACCGTCGGCGGAACCGTCAACATCAGCACCCCCAGAACCAACACCCCCAGAGCAAGAACCCCCTCCAACTCCAGCGGCACCCCCGGGAGCCGCAGGACGAACACCCTCCTCAACGCCAGCACCCCCAGAGGCCAACGGTGGCAGCGGCGGTGGCGGCGACGGCGGCTGCGGCGGTGACTGCGACTGCGACGGCGGCGGAGGCGGCGACTGCGGCAGGGTAGGCGGAGACACCGGGGAAGGGGGACGCGGCAGGGACGGGCCAGGGGGACCACCAGAGTCAGCAGACTCCTCAACGGGGACAACCGACGGGAGGGGAGTGACGTGAGAGATACCAGTCGGGGCAGGACGAGGCGGGAGAGGAGCAGGGGCTACTGGGGGAGAGGGAGGTAGGAACAGGGGCGGGGAGAGCAAGCCGTCGACATGGACAGCCAAAGAGTGGCCATCCTGGTGCTGACCTGTAAGGTGGCGGCGGAGATCGGAGAGCCAGGCGGCGAAGTCAACCGCATGGCCCTCGGCGTCCAGTCGGAGCACGAAGTCAGCCATCGTGCAGGGTCAGCGGCACAGCTCCACAGGAACACAGCGACGCAGGGACACGGCGGCAGCACTCTCCAGCACGGCGGCCTCGAGGTGCCCCAGCACTGGCGAGCAGAGTAGACGGAGCCCGAGGTGGCACGGCAGGACGAGCAAACACGAAGATGGGCCGGGTGGGCAGTGGGAGAGGCCAGGCAGACGCGGCGGGGCCAGGCAGGCGCGGAAGGGCCACGCAGGCGCGGCAGGGCCAGGCAGGCGCGGCGGGGCCAGGCAGGCGCGGAGGGGCCAGGCAGGTGCGGCGGGGCCAGGCAGGCACAGGGGGGCCAGGCAGGCGCGGCGGGGCCAGGCAGGTGCAGCGGGGCCAGGCAGGCGCGGCGGGGCCAGGCAGGCACGGCGGGGCCAGGCAGGCGCGGCAGGGCCAGGCAGGCGCGGAGGGGCCAGGCAGGCGCGACGGGGCCAGGCAGGCGCGGCGGGGTCAGGCAGGCGCGGCGGGGCCAGGGAGGCGCGGCGGGGCCAGGCAGACGCGGCGGAGTCAGGCAGGCACGGCGGGGCCAGGCAGGCGCGGCGGGGCCAGGCAGGCGCGGAAGGGCCAGGCAGGCGCGGAAGGGCCAGGCAGGTGCGGAGGGGCCAGGCAGGCGCGACGGGGCCAGGCGGGGCGCGACGGGGCCAGGCAGGGCGCGACGGGGCCTAGCGGGCGCGACAGGGCCAGGCAGGGCGCGACGGGGCCCAGGAGGGGCGCGACATGGCTAGGATCGCGACGGGGCCCAGGAGGGGCGCGACGGGGCTAGGAGGCGCGACGGGGCTAGGAGGCACAACGGGGCCCAGGAGGGGCGCGACGGGGCTAAGAGGCGCGACGGGGCCTAGGAGGGGCGCGACGGGGCCCAGGAGGGGCGCGACGGGGCCCAGGAGGGACGCGACGGGGCGAGGAGGCGCGACGGGGCCCAGGAGGGGCGCGACGGGGCTAGGAGGCGCGACGGGGCCCCAGGGGGGGGGGGGGGAGGGGGGGGCGCGGCGGGGCCTAGCTAGGGTACGGGCGGAAGCGGTAGGTGGGGGACTCTAACCTACGCATGATACCATGTTAAAGTAAGAACTGAATAATAGACTAGAAGTGGAAACCTAGAACAAATACTAGTTGGTTGTACTCACTAGAAGCATACCTCAGTCTAGCCTATAACTTCTACATAGCTAATATGTATAAGTTGACGGGGGGTCCCTCTTGATAGTAGAGTGGGTGTAAAAAAAAAGGCTAATTTGCTGACAGATCAGCAATATTGACCTCTTGCTGATATGTACCGTGACCATTTGTTCACGTAACTTAGAATTAATGAAAAATGAAGAGTAGCAGAGTCTGTTATGAATGAACTAGCAGAGTAGCACGAAAACGAATATTGAAGTGTTGAATCACTGAATACAAGCAATGGCAAGCCAAGATATAGGAACACCAGAGCTAGTCTAACCATGAGATGTGAAGATTCTGGAAAGAGATCGAAGGGTCTCGAAGTGACGAAGCGAGGCCCGGAGAACTCCCGAAGGTCGAACTAGAAGGTCTGGAGAAGCCGAGGCGGTTCCGTTAGAAAGGTCTGGAACTATCCCAAGGCTTCGGGTGTGCTCGAGCGCACGCGACACCAGTACCGCTTGGTAAGGAATGGAAAATTCCTTACACCACCCTGACAATAAAGATGATTGTCTATGTTAGGTAAAGTATATTTGTTATAGCCTTAGTTAGGTTAGTTCTTAGAGGGTACATTTGTTAAGTTATATTTTATATAACTTTAGG